TCCATTATTACAATCATTTCTATTACTACTATAACTTTTAGTATCACTATGGCTGTTAATACTATTATTCCATTATTACAATCATTTCTATTACTACTATAGTTTTTAGTATCAGTATTATCGCTGTTCGTACTATTATTAATACTGTTGCTATTGTTACCGTCGGTACTACGATTGCTACTACTCTCATTGATGAAATCCGCAGCTCGGTTTTCTGGCCTCCTTCGTTCGGATGCTGTCGACTTGCTGCAGTATCTCCAGCCTGAGCCAGGATAGTAATATAATAGCAACAGTAGTAATGGCAACAATTGCAGCTATAGCAATCATAGTAAAAAGTGTGTATGAATAGTAGAGTGATAATCGTAACAAAAACAGTAGTAGTAGTAGTAGTAATAATAGTAGTAGTAGCAGCAGTAGTAGTAGTAGTAGCAGCAATAATAACAACAACAGGAATAACAATAATAGTCATAACTCCAAGCTCTCGGATCTGAAGAAGCTCAAAGAAATCTAATGTCACTAATGGGGTATGTGTCGCAACTATGGCACCTTTAGGTCCCTTTAGGGAAAGACCATCTCTTTTTGGGTTCCCATGGGAAGAGCCCTCTCGTTTTGGATTCCCAAAGATTAAACCTTCAGCTCCTAAGCGCTGGGCTGGTTGGCATCGCTGATCCTGCCAAGCCAAGAAATGTTCAAGGCTTTCTGGATCAGCGCATGGATGGTAACCTGAATGGTACTTTTAAGGCCCCAAATTTGTCAACGCTTAAGTTCCCTCATAAGACAATAGGGGAAGTCATGAATTGCTAAAAGTCCACACCAAGTAATATTTTTTGTACGAACATCCTCGTTCAAAGGGCGGAAGTAGTCTTAATAGTAGATGAACAGGTGAACCTCCATTCGAAGAGGGAGGGCTCAGCTTCTCTTACGTGTGTCTCTTGCGGTGGGGAAACCATCCGCAACCATCCTGGGTAACTTGCGAGTGCAAATCTCAGACCTTCCTGTTCGTGCCTGAAGTGCTCATGCGCCATTTCTCAATCAAGTGCGGGGAGTCCCTAGATTGACACGTAGGACAGTCGTAAATCCACGAGACTACCTCCGAACGAGCGTAATTCAGCATTAACCCCGTTCTCATATATAGTTGCTGCTTTTTCAGGGATGGTTCGAATTCTTCTGGCCAAAGCAAAGCATGACCTATTTGTAAAGATTGGCAAGTGCATAAACCAACCACAACCTTCTATTGTTCACATGAATTATCAGGAACAGGTTCAGCAAAAGCTCATTACTACTTGAGCGAAACCTCCATAACGATCGTTTCTGTATTCAGCATTGATCCCGAAATATATCCCCACATGCCCAACACAATCCAAGGAGGAACGGGGGGCCCTTTTAATACAAGTATTACACTTATATTAAACAATCAATTTGGAACTCCCTGACGTCAGCTCCGTCTACCTTGAAGCCTCTACTTGCAAGTCTACTTACTGGTTCTAAGTAGGGAATAATAAGAGAATATAGGGGCATAATGTAGGGTTGAATAGGGATAATGGTTTGTAGGGAATATGGGAATCTATTATATTATAGGGGTTATAGAGGGATTATATCCCCTTTCCCCTAGTAAGAACCAGTAAGTCTGTTACAAGTTCATGCGATCATGAACCTACAAAAGATGTTCCCGCCACGCTGTCCTCCTTACCCGCTCCTAGCCCCATTCGCACATCTAGCACACATGCGTAATTCCGTAAAATCACAAAGCATTGGCTGGGCTGCCGTTAAGGGAGTTTAGTTCGGTTACAATAATAAGGTAGCCGAACTATTTATCACATACCCATATCGTGGTAACTACTGAATTTGAACTTTCAGTTCCCCAACAATAATCCGACACATTGGGAGAGCATCTCCCTGCGTTCCCAGCTGCCCTGCCTCCTGCGCCTGACTAAGCCCGGGCTGACTTGCAGCACAATAATAATGGAAAAGAAAATGGACACTACCATATAGTATATTGGTGTTCTATAGCGATAATGGAAAAGAACATGGAATCTATTGTAGGGTTTAGGGTTTATGGTTTAGGGCTGACCCGACTAACATCCGCTCTCCTAGGCCCGCACTCAACAAACCTTCAGCTTCATCTGGGCACCACACCCCTACCTACTATCGGCCAGAGGCGCTCTAAGCGGAGACAAAGTTCCCGAAGAAATAGCAAACAAACATACTTTAGGCGAGTCCGGACACCTCAAGCTTGAAATCCTGAATACCGGTATCCTCGTCGTGACGAGGTAATTGAAATTGTTGCCGAGCAACTTGGCTACCTGAGAACCATGTTCAGGGTTTTCATGGCCTACTTCCCGTCTTCCTCGCTCAACTACCGCGATTCGTGACAAGCGGATACACCAAAAGGGCTCTATCTTGACATGCCTGCATCTAGCGAAAGGGGCTGCAAGTAGCTCACGGGCTGACTGCTTGAGTGATACTTCCTCAAATTACCGCTGGATAATAAGAATAACCC